AGAATATTAATTTTTTACAATAATATCAACTCGGGAAGAAAACGAAAGTATTAGAAAAAAATTTAGCTGGATAGAAATCTGAAAATAAATTTTGTTGGCCTATCTAATTATGTAGGACGCTCAACCTGATTGCTTCAATATTTTTTGCAGCATCATGGACTTCCTACGTATAATTATTTCAATAGTTTAACGAAATTATTTTTAAATCTATATTTACATACACAACACACACATATATCTAAATGTTAAAAATTTCTGTATCTTGATTATTTCTTATTTAAAATCTAAAGTCAATTAGAAAGAATTTTGACGTTTTGTCACAATATGAAAACTCGTTCGATATAATTTAAAATGTGTTTATGTTTACAGTACCGGAAATTACAAACCAACCGAAATTGCATATCGGCTGTAATTTACGGATTTTCTCGCGCTGGTGAATTTTCCGCGGATAATCCCGTATCCGTTGCAACGCGCGCGCGAGAAATTCGCCCGGACGTTTCACAGGATCCGAGAATCCCGCAGGTAAAGGGAGGCGAGAGCCGTAGTTTACAAACAGAGACTCGTACGATGTGTACACGGTACGCTGCCCCCCCCATTATTTTAGGCTGTGGAAACTCTCCTTTCCTATCTGTTTATGGAATCAGCTGCCAGTAACTTCCTCGACGCGCTCACCTGCCGGGAGCAATGGACAGAGCATCTCTTCCGAGAGCCTCGGGAAAATCCGCCGTTTTTTCCTGGCAAGACCGACAAACGAGTCAACCGATTTTCAATTTGCTCTACGGGCCCCGAGTTTGCCTTTCTGCCTTCTTCAGTGAGTTAAGTAATCCCGGAGGCGAAACTGACGGTCTTTTCGAGAGCGAAACGGTTGCGTGGGATTTTTGGAATGCGCAAAATAAATTCGACGGTTACATATAGAAACGCTAAATTAAACTAACAATCTCCTAGGAAGAGAGTCGTTGCTGTAGCCTACAATATTTTCTTTCCTTCCATAAGCGATATCTGTCATACTGATTGCAAAAGTTTGACATGCTGTTCTTCAAACGTATACAAGTTTCTATTCGCCAGGATACTTTTAACGGTACGGTGGGGGGGGGGGGGGGAGGGGGAAAAAAAAAGAACTCGTTAGAAGTCTTCGTTCGCACTCTGACCCCGCAAACTCGTTCTCCGATGACGATATCGCACCGCAGACCGGAATAAAGTGCGCGACATCGCAAGGGCGATAGAGCCGATATAATCCGATTTTACGAGGAGGCCCTGGGCACGGAAAGAGAGAGGCAGGGAGACAAAGGGGAAGGGAGATGCTATCGGGCCCCCGCGCCAAGTCCCAGGCGATATAAACTTAGACGCGAATTAGTGGTGCTGCGATAGCATCTCATTTCGTGGCGAGCGTGCGATCAGGAATTTATCGAGAAATTAAATTAGGAATTATGCTAATACCCTCCCCCCCCCTCCCTCCCTCCCGGTCGACCTATATAGACGGCACCTCACCGAAGTCGACCTCCATGAATGAGCGGCGGCATCACGTTTCTCCGTTATTTATGCGTTATTTGCGCCACCCAATTAAAGGGGTACCCCACCTTTCGTAAAACTGCTCTCACGTGGCGTGCAATATAATTTGCTGGATCGACGTTACGTGATCCTTAAATTCCGCTCCTAGAATTTACGTGGAACGTAGATTTAAAACTTGAACTCACACACACACACACACAGTGTACACTGAGAGAAAAGTATCTGGCATTTGTGACTGTAATTGCATGGTAAAATAATTATAGACGCTCCATTTTTATTTTTATTACTGGTGTAATGTTAGGAATGATTTAGAGACACTGTCTACTGTTCTCTGATAATTATACATATTTATAGATGTATTAAAAACATACAGTTGGTACCGAAAGTGATTATAAATTGCAGTTAAATTACGATAATTGCAACCATGTTTTCTCTCAGTATAATATTAAAATAAATGGATTACAGTAAATTATATGATAGAGAATATCTACCGCAAATATTTAGATAAATCAAAATAATTGTAATAAACGTTATCTATATAGTTTAGATCATTTAAATTTGTTAAAAGAAGAATTTGCTTGTGTGTTCAATGAAATAGCTGAATCGTTGATCCCAATTTTGTGGCACTGGTCGATGTAAGAAAGATAACGGCAAACGCGCGGCTAATTTTATTAATCGGTTGGTTCGTAAATAAGATTTATTTCGAAATCTCGTGGCGGTCGCTAAGATCGATTCGTCTCCATTTTTCGTGAGACAACGGCGACTCACGTAGGACCATCCACAGATAGAATCTCTTCACATTCTTGGCATTTTTTATAATCCTTGACGTTGATCTCGACGCGATGCGAGCATGAACAGAATGTCTAAAGTAAAAAAGATCTGGTCTATTGTTTTTATGGTTATTAAGTATAAAGAACGAGAAATTATGACTGTGAAATGTTTTACAAAATGTTTTATGACGTCCCAGCTAATTAAAAATTGTAAAACTTGTTTTCAACTACCTAAGCACTGTTGAAATTGGTGAACGCTCTCTCCTTATCTGATATTTTACACATGTTTCAGCAATGAATTATTTTCCATGATAAAAAAAAAAACGCCTAATTGCGTTTAGCATATTAACGTTGTAAAAATCTGAAAAAAAGGAAACGGAGGCAAAAATAATTTAAAGATTATCGCGAGAAGATAGTAGGATGACAAAATGCGGGGATAATTATTAATTATTCCTATTGGAAGATTAAATCGTCGAAGCTCCCAACATTTAAGAAATTTTTCTTTCTCTTTCTGTCCTTCCCCGATTCCACGTGGTTCGTCGAGGAAAGAAAAGAAAAGAAGGGAGAAGCGTCGATCCCGGAGACGCGGAATAAGTGCCATGGCGAGGGAGCTTCGAAATAAATGTCTCCTACACGCGATGAGTCACAAATCCTAATGAAAATAATAATACCCGAAAGATTCCGTTCTTTCGTGGCCGTGCGACGCAACGAGGATAAATTTACTGCGCGATCTACGGACGGATAAGGCATACCTGGGGACACCTCTGTCCGGTTATAGGTTCTACAATGTAACGGGTGGTACAAAGAAGATCTTTACGATAGACTCGGTCTTACATTGTTTCGATACGTCTGGATCTCGTATTACGACTATACGGAATTGACAGCTAATTAGAAATCGTAACTTTCGTAAAAAGGACTAATTGTAAGAAATCAATATCGCTACGACTACAATAGTAATGAATGATATGAAAAAAATTAATATATTCATATACATGGAGTTCTGTGCATATTGTTTTAATATACTCGTATATAAAATTTGCTTCCATTGTCGATCATATATTATTATATATGATTATATTTGTCTTCTTGATGTAGAGTCTGGGCAAATACTAATATAACCTACTTGTGAGTTTAGTTTGTCATTCTGTATGAATTTTGAACTAAATCGTCTCGTCTTTAGTGCAGACAGAGATGATTTTTTTATAGCTGCAGTATCGAAATATGTAAACTTATCAGAATTCAAATTTGCATTAGCTAAAACAGGTCTGCTCTCTTATATATTACCAAGTTTTATATATTTTGAGGCAATATTAACAAACGCGATTTAGTATTAAATTATAAAAAAAACATTCTTGATTAAAAAAAATCATTATGTAATGTATATATTTATAGAGAGATAGAGAGAGTAAAATGTTATATAACATGTGAATTTTTCACACACATCTAATTAATTTTCTTAATTTTACGCAATTAAAATTTGCTAGAAATTTTGCGGCGATATACTCTGCAAATGAAACTTTTATCAGTATTGTTCTTCGAGACTATGATTTTGAGAGTTCAGGTATCTTCCGCGCTCCCCTTATCACTCCGATAGGTTCTCTCTCGAACCAAAGACCGGTTCTCGGAAACACCCCATAGACAAGTGTCGCAGCACTTGCCTTGAACGGTGCGATATCACCGGTCTCACGTTTAAACGACTTGTAAAACAAGCGCTTAACGATTGCTGGTACCTGGAGGAGATAGACAAAGAGAACGTGCGAAAGATTGAGGGAGACAGAAAAGGAAAGGTAGGCGAAGGGGGTTCGATCGGGCCCGTAGGTCCCACGTGCTTCGAGGAGGTCCAGGCCGCTAAATTGAGTTTACGAGACGTCGAGAGCGTCTCTCTCGCCTTCTCTCATACTCCTTTTTTTTTCTCTCTCTCTCTCTCTTCCGCCTCCCTTCCCTTTCCACTGCACACATCTCTTTAAGACCGTACCTCCGTACCCTGACTCCCTACGCTCTAAGTGCCCGCCCTTAATTCACAAGTACGAAAAAGGCAGAATATACCCTCTTCTCGGTACTTTACGCACCGGCCTCGGCGTTATCTTAAGCGATATTATTTCGATTCCCCAGCCTTGCCGATCAGCATCGCTGGTTTACCCGCTGCTTTAAATGTGACTCTCACGCCTGCGGATGCAATTAAAGTGTGCCCCTAGGATGTCTTTATAATGGAATAGTAGGGAACATACCTCTAATGGGGATTAGTGACGAACGTGTATTAATATTATATAATATAATTAATGTTAATTACGCAGCTTACACATACTTAGTATTCGATATAAATTTATTTATCTTGAAATATGTCAATTATAAATTTCTATATAGGCAGAGTTAATATCACTCTTAATTATTGGTATTTTAACTTATGTAATAAAGCACTAATATAATTAAGTTTTTTTTTAATAAGAGGAACAAGTAATAAGAAAAGAAGAGAGACAGAGGAAAAAGAAAGGAATACATTTTTGAGATTACATTTGATAATAATATAATTAGCATAACAACTCTTAAGCATGATGTATAATAATGATATAATTAGCATAAAAATTTGTTTAAAACCAACTCGCGTCCACCCTGCCGTCTCTCACTTGGAACCTTTTTGTACGTTACACGTAGTATATCTTTGCAAAAAAAAAGAGTCAGCTGTGTTTTATTTGAAAGGCAAACACTGCTTTGCAATTTCAGTGGCCAGAGGGAGGATAAAACTCACGGCGGAGGTCTCGGGGACTCTAGCAGCGAGAGCGGCGACGAAACAAAGCGACAGTCCAGCCAGCAGCAACAGCAACAACAACCGTCTTCCTGTGCGATTCAACAGCAACAGCAGCAGCAGCAGCAGCAGCAACAAATGGTGGACCATCAGCAAACCTCTAGCATGTACCAACTTCCGCCACCAGCTTCCGTCTCAGTTTCCAGCCCGCATTCGTACCACCAAGGCCACAGTTCGACCTTGAGCCATCCGCACATGCAGCACCACGACACGAGTTCCGAAAGCGGTGACGACAAGAGGAACCTTCATCATCAGTTGCAGCATCATCTCCAGGTGGGCACCCATGGCGCTCATGGTTTAGTCCATCCTGCCGCCACCTTGCCCCCACCACCGCCTAGCTGCGCTCAACAGAAAAGTCAGCTAGATTACATGCAATACTATCCACAGGTAGGACAACGAAATAATCTTGAATGTTTATTTCGCACTCGTACATGCGTTTATCTTTTGTAAAACGAAACCACGAGGGACAGAAAAATGCAATATTCTTTTTCTAAACGATCTCTCACATTCTCTTTTAAAAGAGGGGGAAAATGTTATATATATATTCTTTTTCTATGACAACAAAAGTGGACAATTATTATTTTATTCCAATATGTGAAAAGTTAAGGATTCGCAAATATTAATATTTGAAAATATTTGATATCCCAAAAGTGTATAAAATTCCAGACTTTTTTAACTCGCGAATGCAAGGGTCCAAGAATACGTGTTTGAATGTTGACAGTAACACATTTTGTAATTTATATAGAAATAGATTAGAAAGAAAATGTGAGAATTTTCTATGACAGGACTATCTAATCGGCACGCCAACCTCCGCGGATCTGCAGAAGTCCTTGCCGCACACGGCAACGTCGATGCAGATGGGTGCGATTGCCCCTTCTATGGGCGGGTTGAGCCCGATGGGCCCCTCGTCGATGCTGTCCAACACCATGCAAAGCGTCAACACCATGAATACCATGTCGATGAACGGCATGGGCATGGGCGCTTACCAAGGCATGGGTTCCATGGGAATGTCGACGTCGCATACGAGTTACCACAGCGGCCTCGTGCTGGGTGAATACCATTCGTTGTGACCTTGGGCCCCAAGTACTCAGAGCAAGAGGAGTCAAGAGAAGACTTAATGCACATGGGCGGAGCGCAAGACTTCCGATCGATCAAGGTACTCGAGTAGCTTGTCGAAATTAGGATCGTCAATAAATTATTACCGCTGAAGAAAAATCAAGCCCGCTGAAATTCATTTAATACGTCGATTGATAAAAATTAACCTGGAGTGTGATATACGAGTATATAAATTTATAAGTAACTCTCGATTATTAAGTAACGGGAATTTTATTTGCATCAGAAATAACTTTTTCAACACGATAATTTCTTGATGATCCGATAATGTCCAGATGAAAGTGGAGAGGAAAGCCTTCTGTGGATATATCGTTGTATTATCCTTAAGCTTTTCTCGGTGTATGTTTAGAGCGTATGAAGAGCGTCAAATAGCCGCCTATCAAATCGTCACGTCCGCTCAGGTATTCAGCACAATTTCCTTTAATTCTAAATATGAAACATTTTTCTAAAATAAAAAAATATCTGTGTATAATTAATTATTATTTTTAAAAACACCTTGAAACTCAAATTATTTTTTAAATTTAATAATGCTAATCTAATGAACTTAATAAATATACATGTTTATATCGCTTTTTTTGCCGGAACAATGGCATTACTAAAAAAAACCAAGTTTTTCAGAAAATGAGTTTGAATGTTTTTAGCCATTAAAATTTTTTAAATATCATTTTTTTGAATGCGAATTTATTCTTAACAACTAATTGTACAGAAACAAATGTATTATTAGCTCAGAATATTAAATCTATAAAAATGAACACTGTTGAAACAATTTTGTAGACAAAGTGATGCAATATTGACACAACTATTCTCTTGTGATAAGCTTTAGCAATTCAATTAAGTGTCGATTTATAGAATTAGGAACGTCAAAGAGTCGTTTTATTTATGTATTAACTAAAAAATGTCGATTTTTCAGTCATGTTTTGGCAAATGAGCGATATATATTTCAAACTATTTAATTAATTTCTAGCCAAGAATGTTTATTCACTTATCTGTTTATTTTATATCCGTAGATAGAAAATTCTCCGAAACTTTTCCTGAAAAAATAGAAAAAATAATCTTTCTCTTACCCAGAGTGTATCCCGTGAAAAGTCAAAGGATACCGAAGCGACGATGACGTTTCCGAAATAGCAAAAGACATGTTAGCATTTTACTTTCCCACTTCGTACACTCTCGCGGCAAGCCGGCTAGACCGGCTTGTGCTTACAACTATTTCCATAAGTAAACAACCGGCGAAAAATCCCAACCAACTTTTCTGTCCCATCACCGTACTTGGCGCCATATACTTCTCTGGTTTTTGCCCGAGCGCGGAACAAATTGCACGATAAAGCAATACTTCTTTTTTTTTGTACGCGAAGTACACACGAAATACGAGCGAATGCAACTTACCCCTCGCCCCTCCTTCACTTCACGAGGGCTGTATTCTAAAATTCACTGTCAGTGCTGAAATTTATATAGTCCAGTACACGTGACTGCGTTATAGATTGTCATTTAACCGGCAGTAAATTTGGACCACACAGCCATAGATTCAATCAGCTAATTAATTTACTATAACCAACTATACGCTCCTCTTACACCGTACGCTTTTGTGTTTGTCCTGTATGTACATATGTATTATACACACGGCATATTATTAAGTTAATCTCGTTCTTGTTCGCTGCCTACCGGGTGTTCCCGTATCACTAATTTGGATACCATAATCGGAACAAGATTTGAAATTTTAAATTTGGAATGTGTCTTAACGATTAAAAAATTTTTACGTTCGATAATTTGAGTTGTTTAATTCGGTCTGTTTTTAGCTTATATTACAATCTCATTATCTTATCAAAGAATATAATTCTTGGAAGCAACAAAATACAGATAATATGAAATAGGTCAAATTTTATGAAATGCTTTATTCTTAATTTATATTTCATAGGTGGTTTATTCATGTGAGGAAACAGTTATTATTAAAGAGGAAATGTTATTTCTCTCACAAAAATATATTACAAGTATTAATTATAGAAAATCAAGTTTATCGATGTAACAATAAACAAATATTTATATCAATTCACATTATTTATTACTGATAAAAAATGTTACATTGTGTGATGATTTAGTTGACTATAAAAACAGCAGGACGGATGCTAAGCTTTAGGGGTACCCCCAGTAGACAGTGAATGCTGTCGCCAGAATAAGATAGTGCATAAGTTATCATTTATTCGCAGTTCGCACTCTGTACATAAGTATATCTAAAGACAGTGAGAAAGTGAGAGGGAGAACGAGAATGTTACGTGCATGAAGAAAGGGAATGTAGAGCAAAAAAGACGTTACGCAAGTGTGTGACAAAGTAAAGTCAAGATATCGAGATGAAGTCGTTATTCAAAAGAATGATAGATATTAAACCGCTTTCTTGCCAAACAACAGAGCTCAAAATGATTTCGTTTATTCGTCACGATCCTCTTTCTTATATCTCAATTATTTTATTTGTTTGAACAATTTAAAATTCTATGACATATATTTAACATTTCTATTTTTTCTTTTATTTCATCGCAAAGAACGCACGATGTAAAAAGAACATTTACCTTAGACTTATAGAGTCACTTTTTAAAATATGATTCAGAAGTACTTACATTCATCTCCAATGTCGACTTTCCATTCGTGAGCTATCTCGCGCGCAGATGTCCTAAATATTCCGTTAGCTATGACATTGCCTTGTAGATTCTTATCTAGGATGTCGAAGAGAGAAAGGATTTCCCTTATGATAAAGTCCTCGGGACGAAACAGGGTAGAGGAATATAAAATCGAAATAGAGCGAAAGAGAGAGAGAGAGGCGACGTGGAAAATAATATCTTCGATCTACGGGCAGACCGATCGACGTTATTTTTATTTCGGTATCACTCATATTCGTTGTATTTGTTAATTGTTCCTTACAGAAATAATTCGAAATTCATACATTGAGATATTTATTTAACAATTCATAAGTGCCACATTACGTGTTACAACAGAGAATATTAATGGCTGATAAAAGAAGAAATCAACTGTGTACAATATCTACTGTATAACATATCTTTTAATTAACGAAGGTACCACAAATGATACATAACATAATTAACGTACAATATTTTTATTTACTATTTGACAGAGGCATCAAGTGCGATAATTTTTACATTCTACGAACGCTATTCTTTTGAATTATTTTGAGGTTCTAGAGTAATTTTTTTAATTTTTTCTATGAAAATAGCATCATCAGAGTCAGCCTTTGAATCAAAGCTCAAGGTTAAAGCCAATCTCGTGTTAGATCGTACGTTTTATTAAATTATTCAATTAAATATAAGGTTCAATCGAAACTCGTTTATTAATAAATTAATGAGCCTTAAATATTATATTTCTGCTATCTTATTCGCAGAATACTGTACAACAGTTTTAACCACGTTTTATGTTAGCTTTTCATACAGCATACAATAAGCATTACGCTTTCTTAAACAGACAGTTTTTTTTTGTAAAATTATGTAAACAGTTTTAAAATACTTCGGCTGGATGAACGCTGCAACAACTGAAACTAATTACTAACAGGAATATATAGCTATTATTTTATTTTCTCGCATTTGAAACGTTGTTTTAAGAGGATGCTTGAGTTGCCGACGGAACGCTCATTTCGTATTTTTCCAAGCATTTCGTTTTTCTTATACAAAATAAAAAGTCCTTCTCCCGAATAAAAAAAACAATGCATTAGTAACTTTGGGAAACTACAAATAACTTGTATGAAAATCCCCCAAAAAATTGTAAATTACAGTAAATTTTCTGTTACCACGTAGATATCATTTCTTCACGTATATATAAAAGAATTCAAATTTACATCTAAACAAAAAGTACTTTCCCACATTTGAATAATTCATGAGAATATCACACGGGACCTTCAAATTATGATTTTGAAGCTTACAAGAGAAATGACGGAAAAAGTACGATTTCAGTGTACATAACCTTGCATTCTCATGCGATATATATATATAGGATATAAGAGAACAATAAATTTACTTAATGGTTTATTTAATGCACGTAATTTTTTATTTAATGTAAGTGACTTTTCCTTGATGTACATAACATTTTATTTGGAATTAAAAATCTGTTTTATCAGCATATCGATCAAGTTCGGCCGTCGCTCTAGCATCCCCTTAAGAGCGTCTACATGACGCAAGTAGTGCTGCACAAACGCGCAACTTCCGAACAATTGCACGATTTTCTTTCAATTTTTCCATTTCTCCCGGAAGTTGCTTTTTGTCTTCGTATATATTCCATCGTCACATATATTTTCAAGATATCCTTTCCAAACTTGTGGAACTTTAATCGAGATCGAAAACTCGAGGAATTTTCTACGAAACGAACGCTGCGATTCGACCAAAGTTAAAGAATTAATTTTTGCGGATAGAATGTTAATCGTAATCGACTCTTGCACAAATTACGCACTCGCACGCAACTCGCGCATATACAAGAAGGAGGCAGAAGGGCAGTCGAAGGAGCGAATGAATGAAGGAGGAGAACCGAGCGCGCGCCGCAAGGACGATATAATTAATGACCGTCGTCTGGTCCTCTCCAGTTCTCGTTCGTGTATTTTAGACAAATCTAACGTTGCACAACTAACTGAGACGAATTGCCGAGAGTGATCGTGAGTGCGATTATTCATGCATGTGTGTAACCGGCGAGTGAGCTGTATGTGTGGGCGCGTGTATATGTATGTGTATGTATATGTTGTATGTGTGTGCATAGAGTGGATAGAAAGGCAGACGATGCGCAAGTAGATATAAGTAAGAGATCACGATGTACGATCGAATTGTAATCGAGTAAAGTTGATGTTATTTAAAGTAACAAGATGCCAGTGTTATCAGTCCTTTTACAGCATATCCTGCGTCTTCTATCTTATATACTTGTAGATGCTGCTGAATACCGGAAACTGGTAAGTAATGCACGTGGATATTTTTGAAGACGTAATTCATTCTCTCTGTCGCAAACAATGTAAGTTCTAAATAATACACAGGTTAAAAGTTAGACACATTCAATGTCTTTTTAAAAAAAACAGCAATGCATTTTTATCGAATACAAAACTTTTTAAATTGAATATACGAAATTGTTTGC